TTAACCATAAGATACTCATAAAAAAACTAGAACTAAATGGAATAAAGAATAAAAATTTACTTTGGTTTGAAGACAACCTAGCGAACAGGTCACAATGTATTATTTATAATAAAAAAGAAAAAGAAAAACATACTGCATGTGGTGTGCCCCAAGGTTCAATCTTAGGGCCATTATTATTTTTATTGTATATAAATGATTTATACTTAGCATCAAATATTTTAAATGTTATATTGTTTGCAGATGACTCCAACCTTTCTTATTCCAACAAAGATATAAAAGCTCTCTTTAATATATTTAATGAAGAACTATTCAAAATAAACGATTGATTTACAAGCAATAGGCTTTCGTTAAATGTAGAAAAAACTAAATTTATTTTATTTTCAATACCTAGTAAAGGTGATGATGTTCCTCTAAAATTACCCAATCTCCTAATCAATAAAACATTTATTAAAAGGGAACCAATCGTTAATTTTCTAGGGGTAATAATAGATGAAAATTTGTCATGGAAACCACATATAAAATAAATAAAAAATAAAATACCAAGAAATATTTATATATTATATAAAACTAAATCATATATTAACACCTCTTCTCTAAAAAAAGTATACTTTTCATTTATTCATTGTTTTATCTCTTACTGCAATATTGTATGGGGTAGTACTGACTATGGTAAGTTGAAAAAACTTCATAGTAAGCAAAAACATGCATGCAGGATTATATTTGGTGCCCACAGAACTTTTCAATGTGAACCTCTTTTAAGGAAGCTCGGTACCCTAAGTGTCTATAAACTTAATATACACCAAGTTCTACAATTCATGTTTAAAACTAAACATGAACTCTCTCCTATTGTATTTCAGTCTTACTTTAGTGAAATCTCGCACAAGTATCCTACTAAATTTTCAATTAATAACCTTATTGTTCCAAAAACTAATTCAAAACTAACTTCTTACAAAATCCAATACCGCGGACCGTTTCTATGGAAACATTTTTCAAAATTTATCACAAAAAATAATGTTCATCACATCTCTTTGAAAAAATTTAGAAAAGAATCTAAGAACCTCTTATTACAAAAAGACTTTGATTTAAAATATCTCTTTTAAAAATAATATAAATTATCTAAAAATATAGTTATTGACACTACTTCTCTTTTGTTGCAATTTTAATCTAATTTAATTTTTTGTTGAAAAATTTTAATACTTTTAAATTATTGTTAATCTTTGATATAATGCATTATATTTCAACACTAATATTTATATTATGTTATTAGTTATATTGTAACTAACGTATTTAAAATTCTTGTTATGTACATAGCTACTCTTCATTTTTTATATTAACTGACGATTTCTTAGTATAAATTTTATGATGGGGCTTGATGAAAAGACAAATTATGTCTTCTGCATGCTCCAGTTCTCTTATTAACACGATTTATTTCATTGTAAATTTTAATATATGACAAAACTCTTTGCTTAAAAAAAAAATAATGTAAGGAAAGTAGTTCTACATTATGGCCGCAAAACTCAAAAAACATTTAAAAAAAGAAAAAAACAAATTTAAAATTAAAATCAAAAAAGAAGACATGTGACATGCGATAATCCTTGCATAATGTATGCTGTCACATTACGCAAAGATTATGCTTTATGCAAATTATGCATATCACACATGTCACATACTATGCCTATAGACATACGTTAACTTCTTAAACTAAAAACTCAAACAGAACTTACATTTCATTTTGTTCAACGTTTTGTAGTATGAAAGAAGTTTTATTATGAGGCATGGGCGCCCGAAAGATTTTTTTATGTTTTCGGAATTTGCTGATCTATTGTGGTCATAATACATGATGTCACACATTGTGCAAACTCCAAACTTAAGTATGTTCATTCCTATATCAAATAAGGAGGCCTTTCAAAAGTTTATGATGGCAGAGGCTTGAGAACAAAAAAGCCCTAAAACCCTTTTTTCCGACCCCCCTCCAAAAAAAAAGAGAGGGCTGTATATATTGGATGGTCATAATTTTTGTCATTTACAATATTTTTTTACGAAATTTAAAATCTATCAATAAATTTAATTTAGTTTAAAATAGTAAAGTTGAAAACTTTACGAAATCAGTGCCCTCGCGTTTGGGCAGGGAGGGAAGAGGGCAAGCATTTCAGGGCTTTTTTGTTCCTAGGCCTCTGCAATCGCAAATTTTTGCAAGGTCTTCTTATTTTGCATAGGTATAAGTATATACTTAAGTTTAAAGTTTTTAAAATGTGTGAAAGTATCTTATCCGAAACATCAAAAAATCTGCGGGTGCCCATGTTATCAGGTGCTTGTTATAAATTTTATAAATATAAAACGTTACAATTTAACTAACTAAAATTAGAAAATTTGAGAGATATTAATATGAGTCAATCTGAAAAAATTGTAATGTTATAATATATCAAAAGAAGAAACAAGAAGTGATAAGCAAATAATAAAAGATTAAAAGTAATAAAAGAATATAATGCGTAGTTTCAAGCTATGAGCAGCTGTGACACATTGTTAGAGCACTTGCCTCAAAAACAAAGGATCCGTGGTTCAAACTCCACCTCTGGGCAAGTTTTGCAATATCGGTTAGGAAGTAGGCATAAACTTCCAATTAAATGCTCATCAACGGTGTTCTGTGATAAGACCTTAAGGACTTCTTGGGGGCACCAAAATAATAAAAATAATATTAATTATTTTTTGGAGAAAAGATAGTTGTAAAATTTTTTATGTTTTTATTATTTGGATGTGTCTTTAAAACAAAAGTTTAATGGCTCGAACACTAATATTTCAAGTGGTTGTAGAACACATAATTACTTTCTTTAGCTTTATTCATCAATTCAATTTATATAAAGCTTTTGTGGTTGTCCATTATTAAAAGTAAAGGATGATTCTTGCTTGGATGTCCATAACCCATAAAGCTATTAATCCATTTTGAAAAAAATGTGTATATGTATAATCCACTAGGATTAACCTTTTGTAACTGTTGGTGTATCTTTAAGTGTATCTTTTAAATTAAAAAACAAAAAAACAAACTGAAAAACCTCATTCTTTCATTAGATAATATTTTGAGTTATTATTAGTAGTAAAAGTTAAAAATATATTTTGGTTTATTTTTTATGTTTATAGAAGTTTTATGTTTATTGAAGGTTATTTTTACTTGTTTTATTTATTGTTCTTATACTTTTTACTTTTTAATTTATATGTTGGTTTACTCTTGTATAAAAATCTGATGAGAAGATCCTCTTGATCTTTCTTCAGACACAGATTGTTTGCCTTGCAATTTTGTAAAAATTTATTAATTTTTTATCTTATCTTTGTTAAATGTTTTTTTTAGGTTCTGGCGACAAGATCCTTGCGATCTTTTTTCAGATACCTTTTTATGTTTTATGTCATCGTAAGTTTATATTATTATTTTATTATGGGTTATTTAAAGCTGTACAACGATTAACAAATGTAAACCAAAAAAAAAAAAAAAGTGTATGTGTTTACAACAGTGTATGTGTATGTGTTTACAACAGTGGACAAAATAAAAACTGTGGAATAGGGTAAAATACAACCCAGAAATGAGAACAAGACATTACTGTTAGCAGTTACCTGTCCTACTTGTTTCTCATTTGCGAGCTATCAAAATTGGTGGCCTAGGAACAGTTGTTAGACCGTTAGCATCAGTATTGTAATTATACTGCAATTACCACTAAACTTATACTGTTATACTGCACACTGTCAAGGTTTTTTAAATAGACATTTAAATTTTTGCGATTAAAACTAGTTGTTTGACTAAGAATGGAATAAATTTGGCGAACAAATAAATAATTTTGTACAATTTAAGAAAAAATAAAATGATTTAGCACCAGCTAATTCATTTCCTTTTCAGTACTCTAATACTTTAATGTCATTATAACTGCATATTGATATGAAAGTTGCTTTTTTTAATTAACAAGTTTATGATGCAATGGCAGATGCTTGACTGGTTAAAGCCTTTGATTAGGCTTTAACCAGTTTTTCATTTGTTTGTAGACAGAAGTTTCTTATCATTTATTTGTAGACAGGTTTGTAGACAGAAGTTTCTTATCATTTGTTTGTAGACAGGTTTGTAGACAGAAGTTTCTTATCATTTGTTTGTAGACAGGTTTGTAGACAGAAGTTTCTTATCATTTAGTTTGTAGACAGGTTTGTAGACAGATGTTTCTTACCATCTGAAGAATTTAAAATACAGTACTGCAAAAATATTTGGTAAAATCAATAATTGCTGTTTGCTTTTGATAATCTATTTAAAACTCCATGACAAAGCAGAATTATATTTATTTTTCTGTAATAAAAAGCACTTGAAATTTTATCATAAACATAAATACATCTGTTCACTTGCTTTTGTACAAAAAAAAAAAAGGAAGAAACAAAAATTAAAACTAAAAATGTAGTAAATTAAAATAGGGATAAAATTTGACATTAGTCTTATTTCACACCAATTTTCTTATTCCAAATCATCCCATAACGCCGCTACTCCTTCCATCGCCCCTTTTCATTAATACTAACTATATTTCTTCAGCAAATACTGTGATATAGAAGATTAATTTAAAACTATATGCATAAAAATATGTGCAGGCAGCATATAAATATTATTCATTATTAATAGTAAATATTTATGAGTTGCATATTATTTCAGTAGTATTAATGTTTTCAGAATTTTAGGAAATTTTTTAGATTTTTATAAATTCACATTTTTTTTGAAAAAAATAATTTTTCTGAAACTTGAAAGCACAATAAAATAAGGTAGTAATTGTAAACTTATCACAAGTATAAAAAATTGTTTCGCTATTTAATTTTCTGCTGAATGCCAACTTTCTGCTAATGGGCCAACTTTTTTTATCATTATTATTATTTTTATTTTTTTTCATTTTTGACCAACAGGTTAAAAATATTTTGCATTCGGAGTTCTTCATTTTATCTAATTTTCAAAATAACTTTTTGAAGGGCTGTTAAAACTGCATCAGTTAAGTATGTTATTTTATTAGATGCAAGTGGTTAAGTATAATTGTGAAATACAAGATTAAGTTACATATATTGATGTGCGATTTTAATAGATATTCTTGAATGTCATATCTAACAAAGATGACTTGTCTTGTCTAACAAAGTTGATATTCCATAGGATCGTGATTACAATAAAAATAAAAAATATTAAAAAATTCACAAAAAAAGAATAAATTATGTTTGAGTGCAAAACATGAAAATCCAACTACATTATTCTTGGTCGAGGCGGTCTTTCCAATGTGTCTTGATTGAATGCGTAGTTTCCACGTCCACCTGTAGGTCCATGATCTGGAGCGTCATACGCTTCGTTTGCTACGCCTCTCTTTTTACGCTGAAAAAGTAATATTTTAATTTTATTTATATTTAATCTTTATCATCTTTTTTGTTTTAAATGTAGTTTAGATAAAAGTTTACGGTGATAAAGTTTTGTACCTTTTGTACATTAATAAATTTTATTAAAATTTTGAGTCAGCCATAATCAATAGGCTCATAAAACATGTAATGTATGAAGCGCTCGCGTAAATAGTTATGCTTAAGGTAAAAAATATTATATGAAGTACTACGATGTATAAAGTATATTTAAATAGCAACATAATACACTGACAATAACAATACACAATATGCACCTATACATTACGTAAGTATTAAGTATATATTACGTAAGCATTACGTATACATTACGTAAGCATATATACCCATGGTAAACGCATACACTATGTATTTATGTACGCATTAAATACAATCGTAAATGTGTTAATAGAGTTTGTAAATCTATTGTAAAGGCATACATTTAAATGGTTATATATAAGATATAAATATAGGGTGATACATAAAATATACATACAGATAGTAATATGCTAGGGATACTCGCAAATTGTAATACAAACTTCTGAATATAAACAAACATATATGGTCCAATTCTTAAATCAAATTACACTGGAAGCTTAATTTCATATAAATAAAAATTGTGTTTAATAAAATTAAGCATAATGTTTGATTTGTCATTGTAATAATTGTAGTTTTAATTGTTATTGGTTGTAACTTGTACAACAGACCCCGCGCTGTAGAATATAAGATTTACACCATTGTAAACAATCAATAATAATCAAAGTATTCTATCTTTTAACTTACCTTAAAAAGCTTTGTTTTTTCTACGAAACAAGCTAAACCAAGTATTGAGCCGTTCAATGACCAAAACGAGCAGGTTATTACAAGTATAAGAATAAACAACCATAAATCTTTGCCAAAAGCATACATGCTGCAATCAGGAACTAAAACATTAACTTTAATATACAATATAAATAACTTAATTCAAAACAAAGATTAGTACCGCCATGTTTTCCTTACGTGTATGAAAATAAGTAGGAGCTAGTGTTTTTAAAAAGCTTTTTTTATTATAATTAATTAATTAAATTTTAGACGAATTTAAATAATTTTGAATGCCCAGTAAAACGTGTGTCATATATCATTATGTCAAGTATTCCATATTAATTATGTTCGTTAAAAAACCTAAATAATTCATTTCGGTCTTATGTATTTTACACTAATAATAAATGAAAACTAAAAATATTTTTCCAAGTATTTCTTTTGATTGAAAAATATGTAGACAGCAACTGTTTTTGAAATTGATGACGTTATTGAATAATTTTACGATTAAAGAGCATTTAAGTTTTTTTTATTACTTGATGGCTCCATCAAAATCAAACTACTGATTGATCAATACAGTTTTTGGTCTGAAAAATTTCAATAATCAAAAACAAAAGTTATTGAGATTTTAAAACCTTTAGAAAAAAGAATATTTTCCATGGGTTCCATAGATAAAAAAAGTTCAAAATCAATTAATTTGATATTTAATGTCCAAAGATTTTTTTTTTAGGTATGTTTTTAGGTATATTTTTAAACTGTCTTGTTTTTATACCTCAAAATAACAAACAACTTATACCAATCTTGCATTTAAAATTCAAAGCTTAAATAAGTTCATTTCATTAAAATATCTAACCGTTCATTATTACTCTTTAAACCAGTGACGGATCGGAGGGAGGGGGGGGGGGGTATGGGGCGAATGCATCATCCCGCACCAGAATTTGAAAGTCTTAAAATGTCTTAAAAATTTTATATTAAAATCTTGTGCTACATGATACTGTGCAACATCTACTTGTGCTACATGATACAATATTAGTCAATAAAATATGTTTTCTTTATAGTGCTAACCCAGCCAACATTGACAGACGGGTACCGTATGGTTTTTGTCTGGGCTTACGGGAACGGGATTTTAACGGGTATGTGTTTTGGTTTCCAGACGGGTCCCATATGGTAAAAAAATCAAGCATATTTGCTCGTTAGGGTTTTATCTGGTTTTTATCAGGGCCGAATAACCTGGGGATTTGACGGGTTTCCCATAAGGTTCCCAAAAGGTATTGTGCGTGAAATAAGATTAAAAATTTAACTTTTATGCATTACATTTTTTGAATACATTATATTTACATTGTAATTAAAAAGAATTTTTTTTTGATGTGTTCTGTCACTGTAAAACTCAGTTAAAAAGACGTTGTTTTAAAATTTCATTAATTTATTATCATTATAAAAGAAATTTTATATACACATATATATACATGTATAGTATTTTTTAAATGAATTAACAAAGTTTAACATATTTGTTGAACATATGTTCCAAAAACTATTAAACATGTAGTAAATGTTCCATTGAGACACTGTTTAACACTTGATCATTTTAAAAATGCAAACAGTGCAAACTAGCAGCTAGTGATATAATTAGATAAATGGTTTGAGTTTAATCAAAATATTAGTTTAGTCAGAAACATTTAAAAAGAGCAAACAGACGAATAGAATGTAATGGATAGGTTATATTTAGGGAATTAAAAGCTTTTAAATCGTTTTTACAGATCCGCTCTTTTTCATTGATTTTTCTATATTTTATGCAAGCAAAATGACTGATGTTAACGAAGTTTACCCACCGTCAGATATAAATAAAGGTATAATTACATGTTTAAATGCAAAAATATGGCTTTATTGTTATGCATCAACCTCATTTTTTAATCATTGATATTTTTTGATTTTGATTTAAAATTGTACACTTGCAATATAAACAATAATTTCATAATATACATAATAATAACTTATACTTACAATACCTATACTTGTAAATACTTGTAATATAATAATTATGTTTATAATACTGATAAAAATTTTTATTGATATAAACTTTTGCATTCAAACTTTAGTTATAAAACTTTAATTTAACTTAATAACTTTTACATAAATAACAATAACTAAAAAAAGATGTTAGTCATTATATAGATTATAACCATATGCTTATTTATTATAATTGAGTTACAGTAAGTTAAACAATATAAAATGTTAAGTTCCAGGCAATAGGTCTTATATGATATGTATCTTATGTATATCTTGTATTTTGCAGCACGTTAAAGAATATTTCTGCATGGTGCACTCTGACTGTTGACAATATTTGCATATTGATATGAATAAAGTGACTTCAACAACCAGAATGTGTTTTTGATAAATATTAATAATAACAGGTTAGTATATATAATTATAGTAATAATGGCAATAACTTTTTATTATTAGAATTAGTGAGAGACTTATGTATAATAGAGCTAAATTAACTTTGGGGGACAAATATAATAACTTGAGTAAATATTACCGTTGTTTATAACCTCGATTAGAGTAATGTAAGTAAATGTTATTTTTATCTAAAGAATATCTGGCAAAAGTAAGTATTTCCTAAGTATTAAATATTATAAAAAAACATGTGTTTAAATAAATTTTTTTAAATGTATCATAAAATAAAAAAATAACTATTAGAGTATAAAAAAAAACATATTTATTATTATAATGTATATACATCACATTAACTATGTTGTCTATAAAGTAGGGGTTGCAGCTGATATTTCAGCTTCAGCTATAAACTCATTAGCTTCAGATTAATGCTGAAGCTGATCAAGTCAGTTTAATCATCTTGATAGCTGATAGTAAAAGAGAATAATACTCCATAAATATTTTATATAAAATATATTTTTATATAGGAATTTATTCAATGAATATCTAAAATAGTGACAAAATAGGACTTACAATATTAGGGGACCCAACTTATGTTTTTAGAAATTTGTTTAAAAAGTGGTGCCCAAAAATCTAATTCCATTTTTAATTATCTTAAGGGGACCAACTATCTTTTGTTCAAAAAGAGTACACTTTGCAAGTATTTCATAGGTAAAAAAAAAAAGGTAGATAAAACAATAAAAAACTTTATTTTTTTTAAAACATATTTTTCGTCAGAGTGGATTTTTTTTGCTAGATGAGGATGTTCGTCTAATAATGTTGCTGCATCCAAACATATTAAATTTCATATTAAATTTGACTGTTAAGATGGCATATAATGTTTTTACAGAAAGTTGCAACTTCTCACTGCTCCAATAATCATTCCTTAGTGAAAATACCTTTTCAACAGCAGCATTAGTGCCTGGACAACATAAAGAAATTTCTGTTAAAACTTTTAAATTTTCATGTGGGATATGTTCTACTCTAAAATGCCGAAAGATTTCTACCCATCTTTTTTCAAGTTCTATTTTCTCGTTGTTCCATTTCTTTAATTTTTCTTCATTTAAAAATAAATTTTCTCTTCCGATTTATAGGCTTTAATATAGCCTTTAATATTGTATATAGTAGTGTATGTATATCTTTTTTTATTTAAATTTGCCTTTAATTTGTTTTTTTATATTTTTCTGCAAAAAAATTTTTCTGTCACTTTATCCTTCTGAACTTATGTGATTAAGTTTTTGTTTTCTCTTACATATTTTCTCACTCATCTTATCTCATCCGTTCATTTTCTCTTTTTTTTTTCATTTTTCTTAGCGTTACTCTTTTATATTTTTGTGTTAATTCCAACTTTTTAAATAGTATTGTTCCTTATACTTCTTTTTTTATTACTTGTATTAATGTAGTTTTCTTTCTTTTTTATTATTTTTCATTTTATTTGTTTATTTTATGAAGGTGTTGCTCCATTGACTTGTTTTTAATATGAGTGACACCGAACATAAATTTGTAAATTATAATTAAGTTTGTAATTTTTGATTTTATGGTTAATTAACCATAAGCGCATGCGTAGTATGTACAGTAAGGTTTTTGTTATCTTTTTATTTAATTAAATAAATGGATAAAAAACTTTTCTGTACATACTACGCATGCCTCAAGACTGTCAAGCATGGCGTACATACTGCACATCAAAGATCAGCCTGGGGATTACATATGCAAATGTTGGATCCATCTCTTTTCACAAATGTAATTTTGACATTGTTAGAAAAAGAGGTCTGTAGTATCTATCTATCTCTCCAGGTTCATAATACGGCCTCTCAATTGTGTTGAAAATGGCAGTCATATGTGCGTTCAAAATTTAAATCACTGTCAAACTTGTATCTGGTGTTTGCCCTGTCCTCTGACGGGCTGGAATTGTGTTGAAAATGGCAGCCATATGTGCGCATGAAATTCAAATCACTGTCAAAATAATTTTAAATATTTAATTAATAAAATTGAAATGAAATAATAAAAAAAAAATGTTTTAGAAATACAAATGAGTACAAAATTATACAAATGAGTACTTTCAGAGTACAGGATTTGAAAAAAGTAAGGTTTGTGAAAAAAGAGTAAAAAAACTCAGTAAATGAGAATAGCAGGTCACCTTAATTAACTACATAATCTTTTGGTAGATTTCAAAGTTCTTGCAAAAGATGGTTTTATCTATGAAAATATTGAGTTTAAAATCAATCTTGCTGTTATCATATGTGATGCACCAGCTAGAGCATTTGTAAAGTGTATTTAAGGACACAATGGTTATAACTGATGTGAATGTTGAGCTTAGAAAGAGTGGTGTGGCAAGATAATTCTCCTACATATTTCACTAATTTTAAGTACTTGTTCAGATTTTTTGTCATTAAAAGCATTCTGAACATCTTAATGGTGTGTTAAATTGAATTAAATTTTGACATAGTGACAAAGTTTCCTTCAGACTTAATGCATCTAGTATGCTTAGGGGTAATGCGAAGATTTCTCAACTTATGGTTAAATTGCCCAAATGTTGTAAATTGTCTCAGATTACAGTCAATACTTTATCTGGCGGATTGTTCCAGATACGTCATTACATTCCAAGAAATTTTTATAGAAAATCAAGGTCTTAATTAGATATTAAAAAATGGAAAACAACTGAGCTTAGACTATTTATAGTAAACACTTGACCAGTTGTTTAAAGGGAATGGTTTAGCCAAAAATGCATTCAATTTTTTAGATTTTTCAGTTGTAGTTCTACTTTCATGTTTCATTTTGTTGAAAAAATATGTTAATTTTGCTTTTCAGCTACTTATTTTTATATGTGAACTTTATCATAAGGATCAACTAGTGTACAATGTCCATTCATTAGCACATATAGGAAATAATACAGTTAAATTTTAGGTATTTAATAGATGTCCCTCTTTCAAGTACAAAACTTTTACAGGTCAATTAAAAAATGTTTGTCTAGAGGGCTCATTTGCAAATTTAGAGGCCCTACAAAAAATACATAATATATATAATAAATTCTTACAAATGTAAGAATTTTTTTTTTTTAGGATTTTTATTTAGATTTTTATTTAGTTTTTAGGAATTTTGGGGCCCTTATGACAGGTTTTTTTTGGAATGGGGGCTTGTATCTAGTAGCCATGGCACTGTATATAAGGTATATACAATATATATCAAATTATATACAATATAAATAAAAAAATATATTTATTTAATAATTTTATATAATTTATTTATGAGTAACTAAAGGAATGTTATCAATTTATTATATGAATCATAAGCATGTGCTTATCTATTTACAAGTACCTTTGATGGTGAAAATTACATTTTTTATCTGAAGAGAGTTGGGAGAAATTGTAAGAGTTTTATAACTTATTAAAATTAATGTATGTGTTACCAATAAAATTTAAAAGTAACAGTTAAACTTAATTTTTTACAGTTCATATTGAAACGAGATATTGTGTAAAGAGGTTTTCAAAGAAGTCGTTTTAACAACAATGGAAAAGCTTCCAATTCCCGAGATAAACGTAAAAGCATTTGATACATGACTAAAGAATCGTTCAAAAGTTTGCTTAATTTTGACAGTGTAATTTTAATTACTATTTTTTTTTGAAATAAACCAATCAATTTATATATAAATTTGCTTTTTCTGTAAATTTTAAACATTTAAACGTAGTTTTGCAAGATTTGCAATGGGTAAACCTCGTTGGACCCTCACGGGATACCCGGCGGGCATACCCATACGGGCCCCAGAAGAAAACCGCGGCCATGATCCGGCGGGTTCCCAATGGGTTTCCCATATGGGTCCCATTTGCAAACCCAACTGGGTCCCTTACGGTTTTAAAGTACGGGATTTGACTGGGACCCATACTGGATACCCGGCGGGCTAACCCATATGGGTCCCATATGGAAACCGCGGTCATGATCCAGCGGGATACCGTTGGTCTTCCCATACGGGACCCAGTTGACAACCCATATGGGCCCCGTACGGTACCCGTATGTCAATGTTGGCTGGGAATGTTTATGTTGAAAATGTTAATTTACCACTGTCAAATTTTCAAAGTAGCTAAAATGCAGCTGATGTTAAATTTAATAAAGGAGAAAAAAAACTCAAAAATGCTGTAATCTTGAGTTAAAGCACTTTAATTTTTGGTTTAACATTTTATGTAAAAGTTAAAGAAGTTCTACTGTAGTTGAGTTATGGTTTTAAAACGAATTTTTTTATTAAAGGTGATTACTGCTGATTAGTCAAGCTAAGTGTATTGAGTTATTAAGAACTTTAGGTTTTTGCAGCCTGCTACAATGCATGAAGCAAGATTCATGCTTTATGCGTTATAAATTTTGATAATTCAACATATTAGCAATGGATTACAAGAAAACGTCTAGCGATTTGAACGAGAGACTTAAAGATGCTTCTTCAGTGCTGTGGCTAGTGGGTCAGAGGCTCTGTAGCTGGTGAATAACTCCCCTAGTTTTGTCAATAAGACTTTATTTTCTTTAAAAAAAGCTGCTTGAAGTCAACTAGTTAGAAACAATGAGGTTTTTACCATTTATTTAGCAGACATTGCTTTGTTTCCCTGCGTGGTAAAAAATAACATTTTCAAAAAGTATCCCTAAATAACGACTTTTTAACTAATTAATATCTTATTTCTCTAATAATATTAAAGAAATAAGATATTAATTAGTTTTCTTTGTCTCACATCATCCCTTAAAAAATAATATTAATAATACTACTTTTGTATAATTGTACTGTAGAAACCTCTTGAATATTTTAATTAAGATTTGGTTTTGATAATAATTTTTAACATTTTTTGTTAATATATTGTTAATCACTCGCTTACCTCATACCTGTCCCACTTCACTCCAATGGCATGGTTCCTCAAAAATCAAAATTATATTTACTTTATTATAACCTGCTGTCGTACTTAAAGGGATAGAATCAGTTTGTGAAATGATGTTTTTTTTTTTAATTTTAAAAATTGTCAAAATCTTTTTGATGCAGTACATTGACTATATAAGATATTAAACTTATTCTAAAAATATTTTTTAATGGCCCTTTTCTCTCAGCTCCTCCCTTCTATGCAAGAAAACTCACTTTTAGTGGAGAAATTCAAAAAAAGAAAAAGGAGCATTTTTTTTATTTAAGCTGCAATTATTAAAATATATTAAAAATTCTAAAATCAATACCCGCATCAATATCTTAATATCTTACCGTAAAAACTATTTTCGAAAGGAATACTTGAATTCCCATTTATCAGCTTACAAAGACACGATGGCTGCAAATTAAAGCAAACATATTGATCATTATCCAAGTAACTTTGGTAATCTTTAAAAATCACGTAATAATCAGCCGAGACTTTAATTCCATACAGGCAAACCATCAAACATAGTAAATTACCAAGCATGTATGTTCCAGCCTTTACAAAAAATAAACATAAAAAAGTTTAAATATACATATATATATATATATATATATATATATATATATATATATATATATATATATATATATATATATATATATATATTATGAGTATATATATATATATTATGAGTATATATATATATATATATATACATATATATATATATATATATATATATATATATATATATATATATATATATATATATATATATATATATATATATATATATTTACTCATAATGATGACATCATACTAAAAAATATAGGAGCAGGGGCTTCAGTATATACATCAACTGTCTTACATAGATACTGAATGTAAAAATAGAATGTAAAAAATACGCTAAAAATGAATATAAAAATATAATTGTAAAAAACGCGGCAAGTGATGTTGAAGAAGAAAATCTTTTTCAGTTTTAAAAATAATTGTTCTATTGACTTATATATTATGTTTAAAAATTTTCTATAAAAAATTTCACAAAATTGCTTACAATGACCAATTTAGCGAAACTTTTTTTTTAAAACTTTTAAAACATTTTGAGACATCTATACACAAATGATTCAACAAATTTTGACGACAAAAACTTGAGGTAATCATTTTGATGTTAGTTTCAAAAAAATTGTCAACAAATTAGATGCTGGTACTTCTTTTTTTTTTTTTTTGCCATATAAATTTATTCATAACATAAAGCATATGTAAATTCAAATAACAGGGGCACGAAGAAGACATTTGTCTTATCGCCAAGCCTCTTAATCTATACCATAATACGCAATAATAAAATATAAAAATCGTAAAACTAAAGCACTACAGCATATAAAATATTGTTATACAGACTTTTTATATTTAATATTTATAAACAACAAACAAACAAAAAGATAAAATTCATAGATCCTAAATGCCCCTCTAACTATAAAATTCTACTTTTTTTTTATTTTAATATAACAAAAGGACAAAAATTAAATACCAAAGTAAAAGCAAATATTATAGTATAGCAAAAAATTATATACTTAAAAAGCATCCAGGCAAATACTCATAATCCTGAAATTTTCCTTTTAAACCAGTTTACACCTTTACATATACATTAGAAGAAATCATGCACTACTTTGCATATCAATAGTCTTTGCTTTAACTTGGTCTTAAACTCATTATGCGTTGCAATTGTTTTAAGATCATTAGTTAATATTTTATTCCATACTTTTGGTCCTCTATTCGAAATTGAAAATTTAGTAACCGCAAAATAATTTGTGGGCTGATGGTTGCTGTTATACGAGTATCACTTGCCTCAGAAACGTAAGATCCGTGGTTCAAACCCCACCTCTGGGCAAGTTTTGCGACATTGGTTGGGAAGGAGGCGTGAACTTCCTATTAAATGCTCCTCCGCGGTGCTCTGTGATAAGACCGTAAGGACTTCTTAGGGCACCTTAATCAACTTCAAAAAAAAAAAAAAGTATCTGGTTAAGTATCTGTTCTGATTTATTTTGAACAGTGGTTTAAATATTTTAAGAGATAAATTTTTATTAATGTTGAACATAAATATAAGAAGATGATAGATTTTTATTTGGTAGATATCCATTATATCTAGCTTAATAAACAATGCTTGGGAATGTGTAAAACGCCCCATAATGGATATGATTCTGATTGCATATTTTTGTTTGTTAAAAAGTTTTTTAATTTTGTTTTTATTTGTACTGCACCAAGCAATGTTTGCATAAATTAGATGACAATGAATGAAAGAGAAATATAACAAATTTAAGCAATATTGATTTAAAAAAAGTTTTGCTCTACAAACCAGACCGATGTTCTTAGATATTTTACTTTCGAGATAATATATGTGATCTCTCCACGTCAAATTTTCATCAAGCAGAACACCGAGAAATTTGAAAGTGATTTCTCTTTTTACGTCTTGATTGTTAATACAGAATTTTGGAAGTTTTAAAGGAATATTATCTCGATCATGAATCGTTTCCATTTTAAAAAGTATATTTCGTCTTGGTTATATTTAACTAAACCATTCAGTAAGATTTACTAACTCTTTGTTTACAGATTAGAACATTTTGTGCATAGAATAGGTTTGTATCATCTGCAAATAAAATTCTATCTAGTTCACTGCATGCTTAACTTAAATCATTGATATAGATGGGAAATAGAATTGGCCTCAATATAGAACCTTGAGGGACCCCACACATTATATTCATATCGGTCGTTTTATTATCATTGTAAGAAATGCATTGCAATCTATTTATCAGATAGCTTCTAAACCATGAAATATTTATATTTTTTACACCATAGTTTTCTAATTTTTTTAATAAAATGAAATGATCGACAGTATCGAGAGATCAATAAATACACCTAATGTATATTTGTTTTCATTAAACGATTTAAATATATTTTGAACAAGATGAACAATTGCCTGATCAGTAGATTAACTCTTTTTAAATCCAAATTGCTCTTTTTAAATAAATTGCTGATCAGTAGAGTGAAACTTTTTAAATTCACATTGCAATGGTACTTTAGTACCAGAAAAAATAGTTTAGAGTAAAGATTGTAGTTTTATATCTAAAAGAAACAATTATATTGATTAAACCTTGATTTGAACAAGTACTAGTACAGATAAACAACAAGGTGAACCAGCAACCTTTCAATGGATTAAGTCAAAAATATAAATGATTTTTAAATTGACAACTTGAAAATGTTAAAGCATAAACATATTATCAACCAACGAAAACTGCTTGCAAATAAACGGAACCAATGTTTCCATGTCTATTTTAGAATGTTTTATTAGAGATAAGAGCTTTCATTAAATTCTTGATAAAATTGAGTATTATTTACCATTTAATAAATGTTAGTTTAAATTTAAATTAACTTAATATGTTACAAAGCCAAAGATAACACACAAACATGTTCGAAGAAAATTGTTGGTTTATTCTCCCGACAACCTGGTTGCTACGGGTTTGGTAATGAATTATTTATGTTGTTAGTCTACTTATCTAAAAATACAATTGTTTTACAAAAACTAAAAAAAAAAATTAGAGAATTAAGGGAATAAAAATGGACTTATAAATCTTTTTATTAGCTTATATTTGTTTATGTTGTACAATTTACCACTAATAAAAATAGTAATAAATATTCAAAAATTTACGACAATAAACACAGGCCCATAACAACCCCCCAATAATTTTTCAAATATATAGGTTTGAAAAAATTGACTAAAAAATGACTAAAAAAAAAAAGGTCTTTAAAACTGTTTTAAGGTGCCTTAATCCAGCACTGCCCACTGAATATAATTTTTGTTCCTACGGGCCTACGGGCCTACGGGCCTACGGGCCTGAAACAATATGATCAGAGTATTTATAAAAATAAGTTTTTGTCGTTAGAATCTTAAATAAGTGTAAACAAGTGTCTGACAAAGATAGAATAATTGAAAAAAAAAAGCTAATAACAAGCATTTTAGATTATAAATACATATTCAAAAACATAAAAGTTTTCTCATCGTATATGAAAGTTTTCTCATCATGTAGACAAGGATAGACAATCATTTAAAACAAGTAAAAAGTAAAATACCAACAGCATAATAAATAAGTATAAACTTTATGCAAATGTAGACAAATATATTAAATAAAAAAGAAATTAAGATAAAAAAGGTTTAACAGTTGAACAATAGTAGCTATTTATTAATAATTTTCTATTAATAACAGCTTATATTTTGGATTGAAAAATTAAGATTTTTTTATTTTATTTAAAAAACGTATAGGTTACAAATAAATGAAAACCAATATGATGTAGATCTAGAATTATACAAATAAAAAATTTTTTTTAGAAAGTTGTAAACTTCTCACATATATGTTATAAAGTAAAAAACTTCTATATAATCGATTGTATAGAATGCAAATTGATATAAAAGTTCATAAACTCCAAATGATTTTACATATAAATCAGTTTAAAGAACCCAAGTATTAATCCGCAATGAGTGGTTCAAAAACTAATGTTTATAAAAATGATAATTTTTTTCTGCTGCATGTAAATAGAGATAGATGGCAACATTAAGATAGAGATAGTCCAAGAATGTTTTAGTGGTTTTAAGATTTACCTGGTGCAAAAGCAGGTGTATTCTTTGAGGCGTATTCTAAAGTTTTGAAAACTTTTGGTGGTTTGAAGGTTTTTTTACTTTTCAGCTATTGAGGTGCTCCAAAAAATCCCAACGGTCTTTTCACAGAGAAATACAGAAAAGTATTTAACCAGGAAGTTTACTCCTTCTTCCGTACCAACTTTACAATTATAGCCAGAGCCGGATTCGAACCTCGGACCTCCAGTTCTGAAGCAAGAACTCTAAGCACTACACCTTTCTTTACCCTAACTAAAAATGACTTTCTCCAAGTACTTTACCGCTGGATAGAGACACAACCAGAAATACAAAAATAAAACAACAAAATACATAAACAAAGCATCTAAAATACAAAAGGAAAATGCAATAACAAAACAAACTAAAACCAATTAAATAACTTTTGTACTATATGACATCAAGTTTTAATTAAAGAAATTTTATTTAAAGAAAGCAGGTCTTGTACTTTATTTAATCATCAAATAATTCATCTAGTAGATCATCATTAGTTTCACAATATTCCAAAATGTCATAAAACTTAGGCGCTGAAGTAAATTTCTTCAGGACCTGAAGATCTTTGCATTTGGCTGCGGAAATGTAACTTTTTTCTGATATAGTTTTACAGGCTCAACAATACTAACAGTTTTATTTCAACGCCTAATGTTGGACAAAATAGTCTCTATGGCTTATTATTTAAAATTCAAGAAACTTCTTTAAGAGGTCTCATAGGCAAAGGACATTCAGCTTTATACACAGATTTTAAAAACTGAGTCATATCATTTGCCATATCTTGCTTTAACACAATAAATTTGTAGGCACTTGGCTTTTTTCTAACAGTCCTGAATATTTCATGCCAGTCTGATGGTGTGTTAAAATGTTTCTTGCAATTAAC